GGTGGAGGAATAGCAGGAAGGAGTATGGGCTGTTCTGGTGCTTCCACAATGGCCCAGCTGAGGAAGGAAGTAGAGGCAGAGGTGGGAGGGAACAGCAAAGGCCCCTGAGAGGCAGTATGGGTTAGAGCTTTAAGCCCTGGCCTTAGAGCTGGACTGCCTGGGATTGAATTCCGGTTCGAGTACTTTGCTAATTGTGTGACTTTGGACAATTCCTGTAACTCGCATCAGTGGTTCCTGCCTTAAGGGTTGTTATGAGCAGTAAATGAGTTAATAGCTGTTAGTATTAATGTGTGGCACCTAGTAAACTCCATTTAAGGGTCTGCCATAATTAAGGTCATGTGGACACCGGGACATGCTGTAAGCCTAATACCTCCTGGGCCTTTGCTCTGGCCACTCCCAACCCCAGGGCTTCCTGAAACCAGAGCTGCTGGGTGGTGAATTCACCCACCTCGAGTTCCCCCGCCGAGTTCAGCCCAAGGAGCTGGGCCAGAGGATGCTGTATCGGGACCAGAACATGACCGGCTGGTAACACTTCCCTCAGAGCTGGACCCATTCCCATGGCAACCCAACCAGTCCCTGGCCAGCAGCAAGGTGGAAGTGGGAGGCTGGGCCTGGCTGGGAGCTGGGGGGATGTGGCCCTTCTTAGGGGTTTGTGTGAAGGGTGTGGCTCCTAGGGGAGAGGGGCTTTGATGCCTGGGTGATGCCTCCTCTACTCCCCCCTCCCCAGGGCCTACAAAAAGATCGAGCTGGAGGATCTCAGGTTTCCTCTGGTCTGTGGGGAGGGCAAAAAGGTAAACTCCATGGTAGAGGTGGGAGAGGGCAGGAGAACCCACCATAAGTTGTCTAGGGAGGTGGAGGTTCTCCCTGAGGGCAGGGCTGGGAGGGGCCATGGTTTCAGATTCTGGGAGAGGATTTTAGCAGCACTCCCGCCTCCTTTTCTTTAGGCTCGAGTGATGGCCACCATTGGGGTGACCCGGGGCTTAGGAGACCACAACCTCAAGGTCTGCACTTCCAGCCTGCCCATCAAGCCCTTCCTCTCCTGCTTCCCGGAGGTGAGCTGTATAGGTGCCTCCTTATCCTCACCTTCCTTCTGGGGCTTGGGCTGGCTTTTGCCCCAGATCCCTCTGTCCCCAAGCTCCCTCTTCACCCTCTTTTCCCATCAGGTGCAAGTATATGACCTGACACAGTATGAGCACTGCCCTGACGACGTGCTAGTTCTGGGGACAGATGGTCTGTGGGATGTCACCAGTGACTGTGAGGTAGCTGCCACTGTGGACAGGGTGCTGTCGACCTATGAGCCCAATGACCCCAGCAGGTAGGGGTTGTATGGACAGTGAGGGGTAACAATGGGAAAGGAAGGGGCAAAGGGAAGCAATGAGGGCCTGTGTATCTGTCTTCCCATGTACATGTTGGTACATGAATATGCACATGTGCTCCTGGCAGGTACACAGCTCTGGCCCAAGCTCTGGTCCTAGGGGCCCGGGGCACTCCCCGGGACCGTGGCTGGCGTCTCCCCAACAACAAGCTGGGTTCCGGGGATGACATCTCTGTCTTCATCATCCCCCTGGGAGGGCCAGGCAGTTACTCCTGAGGGGCTCAGCCCCTGACCCTCCCACCACCATCCCAGCCTCTTCATGCTTAATCCTCTCCCAAACCAAATTCTGAACGTGTCCCCCTGACCTTCTTTAGTGGCAATTTAACTGAAGAAGGGTCATCAATTAGATCCAAAATTATAGCTACAAGCAAATAAACCAGATGGATAAAAACGTGTCTTTATTTATTTGAATAGAAACCAAAAGGTAACAAAAATTCTTTGGGGTGCTAGAAAGTACAGCAGAATCGTCCTAAAAATATAGTATTCCAAGCTTCTTTCTTCTACCCTCTGCTCTTCCCACTCCACACGCTCTCATCCATTCTGTGGCTTCATCCATCTGCTGGTATCACCCAAGTCAGTATTTCTAGCTCAGACCTCTCCTTAACTTTAGACCTGCATATCCCAGTCATTTCCGGAACATTGAGGCATCCTTCAGGCACTGCACTTCAACACACCTCAAACTAAAGTCACCCTTTTCTCTTCTGGTTCATCATCTCAGTGGGCACCAGCTCAGCTGCTCAGGTTGGAAGTTATTCTTGAAAGTGGTCACCTTTGGCTGCTGTCACTTCCTCATCAAGCTAATCATTAACTATTTTTTATTATATGTTTTTAAAATATTTCATGTTTGTCCACTTATTTCTGCCCCCTACTGTCACTACCTTAGATCTTGACTGCATTAGCTTCCTAACTCATCTCTTATCTCTGTCTCTAGACCACTCTCCGGTTCCCCCCAATATACCAGGGACATAACAGACAGAGTGTCCTTTCTGCAGAGTGAATCTGAGTTGGCTGTTCCCTTGAGAGAACATTTTAGTGGCTGTTTCCTACCACTCAGAAGAACACTCAGTTCTTTAGTGTGGCATACAAGGACCTTCATGATCTGGCCAGTTTCCTCCTCCAGCCTCATCTGTCACCACTACTCCTGGGGTTCCCTTTCCGTAACTATGGGCCTGTGGTAACTGCAGCCCATTTAAAATCTACCATCAGCCCGGCCGGTGTGGCTCCATGGTTGAGCGTTGACCCATGCACTAAGAGGTCGCCAGTTCAATTCCCGGTCAGGGCACATGCCCAGGATGTGGGCCTGATCCCCAGTGCGGGGCATGCAGGAGGTGACCAGTTGATGTTCTCTCTCATTGATGTTTCTATCTCTTTCTCCCTCTTCTTCCCTCTCTCTCTAAAAATCAATAAAGAAAAAAATTAATAAAATAAAATCTACACATCACCTTGAACACTTCACCTGCCCTTCAGGTCCGCGTATCCCACAGTCCATGCATGCCCCCGCTACAGTGACTGCCTCCTGTATTATTACTGTCTGTGTTAGGAGTTGGTATGGAGTAGCAGTTAAGAGCTGGGGTTCTAGAGTCCTGCTGTTTGGGTTCTAGTTCCAGACTCAACACTAGCTCTGTAACCTCTCTAGTTTCTCAGTAAAATGGAGATAACAGTACTACTTCATAAAGTTGTTGTAAGGACTAAAGTAGTTCGTGTACATAGGGCCAGACCCATGCAGTAAGGGTTCAATAACTGTTAGTTATCTGAGTTGCCTGTGTTCTGAATTTAGACATTAAGTTCTTTGAAGACAGAGATGAAGCTAAACTGAGCACATAGCTCTCTGTTTACACTCAAGGCCCGGGGACCAAAGTGTTCTGGACCTCCATTTCCTCATTTATCAAGTGTGTGGGTTGTGCTTCAGATCTTAAAAGTCTATGACTTGTAACACTCATTCATTCAGCAAATATTTGGTAAAACTTATTGTGCTACACACTGTGCCAGACAGTGGGAAGGGACAGGTTGGAGTAGTATAGGGGGCAGCATGGAGAGAGCATCAGCTTTGGAGCCAAACAGACCCCAATGTCTGAATTCTTGTTTCACAAAAATTGGGGCAAACCACTGAACTTCTCTGAGCCTCCGATTCTTTTTTATCCTCACCCGAGGACATTTTCCAATATTTTGTTCAGATAGAGTGGGAAGGAGAGAGAGAGAAACATCGAAGTGAAAGGGATACATCGAGTAGTTGCCACCCACACGACCCAACCAGGGCTGGGGACAAACTGCAACTGAGGTATGTGCCCTTAGTGGAAACCAAACCCGGGTCTCTCCAGACCTAAGGCCGATGCTCTAACCACTGAGTCAAACCAGCCAGGGCTGAACCTCTGTTTCTTACAGGCAAAAGGGGTGGGTATACTTAACCCAAAGATCTGTCATGAGTAGTAAAAGGGCAGAGCTATGTAGGGTACCTAGCACAGGCTAATAAAATGTTGGTGGACTTCCTCATCCTCCATCCACCTCCTCAGCCACATTACAGGGAAGGAGATACACCTGTAGATAAATACCCAATGCGTTCATTCAGAACAGGCTAAGTGTCTCTAGCAGCAGGGAAATCATACTATTCAGGTGGGAACTGGATTACCAACTGGGGATATGGATTTCCTGCAGTGCCCTTTGATGGGTAGGTAGGTAGGTAGGAATTCGACTCATGGGAAGTCCAGGCGTGGGGGAAGGAAGGAAATGAAGTGGAACGGTGGCTCTGGTCTCAAAGGTTCTTTAAAGTTCTCCAGGCTGGCCCTGGCCGGTTTGGCTCAGCAGTTGGATCGTTGGCCTGCGGTCTGTAGAGACCCGGGTTCGGTTCCGCTAAGGGCATGTACCTCGGTTGTAGTTTGTCCTCGGCCCTGGTTGGTCGCGCGGGTGGCAGCCACTCGATGTGTCCCTTTCACATCGATGTTTCTCTCTCTCTCTCTTCCTCTCTCTCCCACGCTATCTGTACAAAAAATGGAAAAATGTCCTCAGGTGAGGATGAAAAATAAAATAAAAAAATAAAGTTCTCCAGGCTGGCACTGCCGGTGTGGCTCAGTGGTTGAGTGTGGACCCCTGCACGAAGAGGTCGCCGGTTCGATGTCCGGTCAGGGCGTGTTGTGGGCCAAATCCCCAGTGGGGGGCATGCAGGAGGCGGCCAGTCGATGTTCTTCTCTCTCATGGATGTTTCTCTAAAATCAATAAAGAAAAAAAATAAAGTTCTCAAGGCTGGGTAATGACATTGGGCTGCACTGACCCCGCACCGATTCCAGGAGCGGAGGGTGGGCTTCTCCGCAAGCCCCTCCTCGGGCGTCCCGGAGGCGCGCTTCCCCCGCGCGGTGGCCACGGGAGGGCAGCAGCGGCCCTTTCCGGACCCGCCCAGCGCGCTCAACTTTCCCGACGCCGGCCCGCCCCCAGGGGCTGGGAAGCGTAGCCGGGGGAGCCCTCTGGGGCCCGCCTCGCCCCGCCGCCCACACCTTCCCAGTCCCAGCCTCCTCCGACCCGGGGCCGCGGCCCGGGACGACAGCAGGGGCCCGGCCGGGACTGTGGACGGGCGGAGCCCGGGCCGCCCCTCCCCTCCCCTGCGGGCCGCCCCTCCCCGTGCGGCGCTGGAGGAGGGCGGGGCGGGGCCCTCGGGTCAGTCTCTGCCTCCGGCACCGGCCGCGCAGCTGGAGGCGGCCGAGCGGAAGGTACCGGGGCCGGGGTCTGGGTGGGGGCGTCCCGGAGCTCGTCCCCGGAGAGCACGACCCGCGCTCCGCTGGGCCGGAACTCGGGCGCCGGCTGGGGCGGCGGGGTTTGGGCGCTTTACCCCCCCGGGACGCGGCGTCCGGGCTGTGTGGGGGCCCCCGGGAGCTGCCCCTCCGGGTGTCCGAGCGGAGTCCTTCCCCTTCCCTTCCCGGCCGTCCTGAACCTTCCCCCGGGCCGAGGGGACAACTTGGTCTCCGCGAGAGAGCCCAGCCCAGGCCGGGCGGTTCCCCGGGCCGGGCGGCCCGAGGTGGACCCGGGGTGGGGTGTGGGTCCGGGCCGAGGTGGGATTTTCCCCCCGGAGGGGCCGGGAAACGGCGGGAGCGGGGGCGGGGTGCGACCAGTCGGGGCTGCCACTGCGCCGCGGGCCCCGGACACCGCCCTAGACGGCTCCCGGGGCCCGCGGGGCGGGAGGTGGGGAGCTTCGGAAGGATCCAGCTCCTTTGTGTGTGCGTGAGGATCTCCCTTCCAGCCGGCTCCCTCCTGGTTTGGGCTGGAGAGCCGAGGCAGACTTCTGGTTTTCAAGTTCAGGAGGGTTCTGCTTCCCTCCCTCGACTTCGGGGTGGTTGGCCGGGAGCAGCGGGGCCCTTGGGCCACCTGGAAATGTAGAGAATGAGGACAGGGTGGACGTGTCTTGTCTCAGGGAAGGCCCAGGAGTTCCAGGCTCCATTCCAGGCCCTGTGTGGGGTGCGATGGCCCCTCTTAGGGTCTGCGGGGCAGTTTCTCGGGGGCTGCTGCTCTCAGGGAGCTCTCGTTCTTGCTCTCTTGGCCTTGAGCCTGCGTCCTGCCCTGGGCAAGCTGCTCTTCTGGCCCAACCAGAGCCTGAAGGGAAAGGTTTTTAATTGAACTGGGGGCTCCAGCCCCCTTAATGTGTATCGTTCCCCACGGCATGGTGCCACCTAAACTGCCTTGCGGGGGAAGGGCAGGGGCACACTGAGGCCTAAGCCGCTGGTGATTGCCCTCCGTCAACAGTGCATCCACGTTGGGGTTACTACCTTAGCCTGTTTCCACGCAGCTGGACCGATGGAACTGTGTGTGTGTGTGTGTGTGTGTGTATTAGTCACCTGGGTCGAATTTCCAGGGAACCCCCTTTTTGAAGGATGATTTCCATTTTTGGAGATCTGTTGGCATGGTAAATGCCTTCTTGCCTGTCTTTTGGGGTATCAGAGAACCCCTTTCAAGGCAGAGAGTGTGTTTGGGTACTCTCTCAACTCCTGTAAATTCTCCCTGACTCGTATCCATCCCTCATCCCAGCTTGTGTGTAGGGGAGGGAGGCCACCTAGGACCCCACTGTTCAAGAGAACAAGCCTTGGGCTGGAACATTTGCTCTCTACAAGGCAGACCGAGATGGGTGTGAGGTGGTGGTGGAATGTGGGGAGAAAAGGAGTTCAGCTCAGTTTGACAGGATGTGGGACAGAGAGAAAAGGCCAGGTTTTGGGCAGAGATCAGGTTACCATCCCCTTCTTAATTAACTACTCACTGCCTGTTTGGTGCTGGGACTGGCCCTCATTTGTCTCCATTTTGGGGGGCTCCCAGCAACCATCCAAGTCTCAATTTACTCTCGTCCCCAGAGCCTCCCCTCTTCCTCCAGGCCTACAGTTTGGGAACTTCGGCCGGTTGGAGGTCAGCTCCTCTCCCTTGGGAGGGAGGAAGTGAGGCTCAGCTCAGGGGCAGGGAAGCTGGGAAGGTGTGATGAACTGTGCAGATGTTCACTGGTGTGTGTTGGGGGTGGGGGACATGGAAACCCCAGGAAGCTGACTCCTTGCCCTGAGTCACAGGGAGGGGTGGGCAGGGCCTGGGGTGAGCTATCTGGACAGAGGGGAGGAAGGGGCTGTTCCACGGAGTGGGTGGAGGTGACTCCCTAGTGGATTATTCTCAGTCGCTCTACTATGGTGGATGTGTGGCTCCCTACAGTGTGGTCATTGTCCCCTGCCTGAGGCTGAGTGACCCAGTGTTGCTGCCAGGCCCAGGAGGAAGGGGGGAGGAAGGCAGGCTGCCCGAATGTGGGCTGTGGGCACTGTGGGGACTGAGCCTTCTTTGTGTGACTCGGGGCTCTGGGAACCGGGATAGGGTAGGCCAGGGAAGCCTGCTGGCTGCTGCCACTGCCCGGTCTGGGTTTCCCTCCCTCTGCTCTTTCCCACCTCTGGGATGATACACAGAAAAGGCAGCGGACTTCAGAGTCACACAGCCCTGCTTTGGGTGCCATCCCTGCCATGACTTTGCTAAATACGTGTTTGAGCCTCACTTTCCTAATTTGTCAAAATAGGAAGCTCTCCATTTCCCTTCTAGGCATCTGGGGACCAAGGGAGATGATGTTTGTCAAAATGCCCAACAGTTTCCCTTACCCACCTACCAGCTGGTAGGTTCTTTTGGCCCGAGGCCTTGGAGAGGAACTCCTCAATTTGTGACCAGGTGGGCATGACTTATGCTGGGTGAGGGACAGTGTGTTCTAGATTGAACCTTAGAGATTACGAAACTTTAAAAGTATCAAAACCCTGGTAACAAATGAAACCTGGCTTGAAACCCAGATATGTATAGCAGGTACAGACTGGCTCTTCTGGACAGGCCCCGAGCACCCCTCTAGGTGTCCAGGCTCCCTAGTTGGTGAGTGGATTAGGTCAGAACTCACGTTGTCTGGCTCCCAAGTGGCTGGTTTGTCCACCTGCCACTCCTATATTCTAACCCATTGGGGAGACCTGTCCCTGACCCTCAGATAAGGAATTTCAAGCTCTGTTGTCCAAGCAATTGGTTCTTGGAAAGAACATGCCTGAGCAAGCCCCTTTCCTTCCCTTTGCTGGATGCTTCAGTTTTCAGGGAGGTTTTGGGGGGCCAGGAGAAATGTTTTTGGCCTTAACTAGGCTTCTCCCCAAATCCCCACTGCCTCTTCCCTGCCAGCTCAGCCATGGCTGCGATTCGAAAGAAGCTAGTGATTGTGGGGGATGGGGCCTGCGGGAAGACCTGCCTCCTCATCGTCTTCAGCAAGGACCAGTTCCCAGAGGTGTACGTCCCTACTGTCTTTGAGAACTACATCGCAGACATAGAGGTGGACGGCAAGCAGGTGAAGGCAGAGCCCCTTCCCATGTCACCTGGAACCCTGCCCTGACATGGACCCAGGACGTCCTTCTTCACCACCCACAGCTCACTCCACTCCCTCCTGGCACCAGTTAGGGTTAGGAAGGAAATCCAGATCCTCCTCCCGGTTCTCTACACAGTGGTCCTTCGTCTCTGAGCTTAAGCTCCCCCAACTGCAAAATGGGGATAATGATTAGGCCTCCTTCAAAGGGATTTTGTGACGATTAAATAAAATAGCAGTGCTCACAATGGCAATTCATAAACTGCACAAAGATTAAGCACTGATATCCCAGGATTTTTAAAAAACTCATCTAATTTGTGTTGGGTGACAGTGATTAGTACTATTCCTGGCACGTAGCTGGTGCTCAGTAGATGTTCAGTGAGCCTCAAGGACCAGTGGCTTCAGAGAGGACCTCTAGGTGGTAGGGTGGGCGGGTGTGACTAGGGCCCTCTGGCTAGCTACTCACAGGCCCTGTGTGTCAGGTGGAGCTGGCCCTGTGGGACACGGCAGGGCAGGAAGACTATGATCGCCTCCGGCCTCTTTCCTACCCGGACACTGATGTCATCCTCATGTGCTTCTCCATCGACAGCCCGGACAGCCTGGGTGAGGGTGTTGGAGGGAGGGAACCAGAACCCTTTGGAACCAGCCAACCTGAGGTAGTTCTTGCCTTGGCTCACTTCAGCAATCCTTGGATGCTGAGGCTGTGGGAGGGGTGCAGGGGCCTGTCCTCTACTGTGGGAACTCTGGCCCTTGGGAGGACTCAGGGGAGAGGTTTTGAGCTGTAAAAGGCACTGTCATGCTGGAGGCCCTCTAAGACTGCTGCAGTGAGACCAGGGGCTGGCGGGGGGCGGGGATTGCTTTCTAGCCTAAGTGGAAGCACCAACCAACACCTGTTGGGACTTATCTGTGCAGAAAACATTCCTGAGAAGTGGACTCCAGAGGTGAAGCACTTCTGCCCCAATGTGCCCATCATCCTCGTGGGCAACAAGAAGGACCTGAGGCAAGACGAGCATACCCGGAGAGAGCTGGCCAAGATGAAGCAGGTGGGTGGGGCTGCCAGGGGGAAAGGAGGCAGACCTCTTTCCAGGGGGCTGCCTGTTAGAGGGGGTGGTGCACCGACTTCCCACCCTGGTGAGGGAGAGCCAGAGGGCCCTTCGTGTCTGATCCACTATCTGATAGAGCCATTAGAGAATGAAGTGACTTGTTCAAGGTCGCTTGGCATTAAAAAATTTTTTTTTTCCTTTATTGATTTTCAAGAGAAAGGAAGGGAGAGGGAGATAGAAACATCGATGAGAGAGAACATCGATTGACCGCCCCCTGCATGCCCCTCACTGGGGATTTGGCCCACAACCTGGGCATGTGCCCTGACTGGGAATCAAACCGGTGACCTCTTGGTGCATGGGTCGGCACTCAACCACTGAGCCACACCAGCCAGGCTTACTTGGCATTTTAATTTATTCATCTGTGTTTGAGGTTGGGGTTACTAAGATGAATAAGAAAATCCATTGTAATAGCTAAAAGAAAGGCCCAGAATGAGGGATCTGGCTTATCAGGGGACCTTGTAAGTGGTTTTCTAGCCAGGATTAGTTTATTAGAAAAAGCTGCCAGAATAAGAAATATGGACTATCCAGAGGATAATTATGCCAAGGTTTTATTTATTATTTATTTATTTTTCTTTTTCTTTTTTTAATCCTCACCCGAGGACATTTTTCCATTTTTTGTTCAGGTAGAGTGGGAGGGAGAGAGAGGAACAGAGAGAGAGAGAGAGAAACATCGATGTGAAAGGAACACATCGAGTGGCTGCCACCCGCACAACCGACCAGGGCCGGGGACAAACTGCAACCGAAGTACGTGCCCTTAGCAGGAACCGAACCCGGGTCTCTCAGGACCACAGGCCGACGCTCTAACCGCTGAACCAAACCGGCCAGGGCAATATTTATTTTTCTTTATTAATTTTGAGAGAGAGAGAGGAAGGGAGAGGGAGAGATAGAAACGTAACATCAATTGGCCGCCTCCTGCATGCCTCCCACTGGGGATTTGGCCCACAACCTGGGCATGTGCCCTGACCGAGAATCGAACCGGTGATCTGTTGGTGCATTGGTCGATGGTCAACCACTGAGCCACAACAGCTGGGCAATTATGCCAAGGTTTTAAACTGGGGACAGACGTGGTCAGGTCTGCATGTTAGGGAGATTATTCTGGCAGCCATACAGAATGGACAGTAAGAAAGAGAAGGGAGGCAGGGACATCATTTAAGAGATGCCAGATACCTATTCAGGTAAGAGAAGGGTTTACCGTGGGTATAGGGTCTCTGGCCCTGAAGCTGCCCAGGGTACTGGTGCTTGGGTGCTTTGTGGGGTTGGGGTTGGAGATGGTTCTTCTAGTTGCTACACTTAGGGGTGTGGTAGTAAGATGCACTTCACTACCAGCTCCCTTTGACTGCTCACCTTCCATCTTCCCAGGAGCCTGTTCGATCTGAGGAAGGCCGGGACATGGCGAACAGGATCAGTGCCTTTGGCTACCTAGAGTGCTCAGCCAAGACCAAGGAGGGGGTGCGGGAGGTGTTCGAGATGGCCACTCGTGCTGGCCTCCAGGTCCGAAAGAATAAGCGCCGGAGAGGCTGCCCCATTCTCTGAGACCCCCAAGTTCTCCCTTCCCCACTTCCGGTCCCTTCACAGGGGTGCAGAAACACTCCCAAGCCCCACCCTCTTAGGGCCTCGTGCTGAAGGCTCCCTTTCCCAGTTCCCTCCAGCCCAGGACTGCATCAAGTTTCCCAAGGCCCCAGCCACAGTGGTGGTGATAGGACCTCCCTCCGTCCCTCCCAGCACTCTGGGAATCAAGGGCTATGCCCTGCCTTCCCAGAGCAGAGTTCTCTCGCTGCCTGGGCCCAGGGGTGGGGCTCTTCCTCCCTTTGGCCTTTGCAGAGGATCATCACACACCAGCACTTTATACACACCTGGCTCGCAGGAGCGTGTCTGGGGTAGGGGAATTGGAGGGTGTAACCCAGAGTCCTGGGCCCCTGGTGGGCAGGGGCCTTGTCTCTGGCTGTATCTGGTGGGGACATGAATAAAAAGGCCACAAGCTTCACTATGTATATGGCAGCTTCCTGTCTTTCTCTCTTGGTCCCTGTCTTGGCCTTGAGCCTGGAGTCCCATCTCTCCTGTTTTCCAAGTTGCTTACCAGGCTGGGCCCCTGTTTGCAAAGGCAGGACTCTGGCCAGGCAGGGTGGGTCTATGAGCAAAGGATGAGGTCATGCCTGGCTCGCCCGGAGGCGGGTGAGGGGAGTGGTCTGGAGCAGGGGCTAAACTTAGAAGTCTGTGGGTGGCTTCTCTGCCACCTCCCACTGGGTTTCCTCCCTAGAGGGAGATGGAATGGCCCTGGGTGGTGTCCCATCTTCCCCTGGGGGGTCAGCTTTGGGGCTCTGGAAGCAGGGACCAGGCCAAGAAGACATGAATGCTTTTGCATAGAACATTTTCTTTTTAGTTTTTTTTCTCCCTGCCCCACTGCTAGCAGCTTGATGTATCATTCTTCCCTGCAGGGGAGGGATGGGATGGCTTGGGTTGTAAACTCCGGCCTCCTCCCCCAGCCTTCCTGTCCCTGGGAGGGAGAGCTCAGCTGGGTTCAGATCAGGTAGGTGGGCAGTTAAGGCTTGGCTGGTGTGTGAAGGCCTCTTTAGAGCTCATTTCTCCATTCTGGTTCCACTTGCAAAGGCAGGTCGCCTTCACCCTCCAGATCCTGGGGGAGGTAGTCGTGACTTTGGGGCCCTAGAGAGAGAGGAGGCTAGCTGTCTTCCTTACCTCCGCCCCAGCACTGGCTGGGACCTAGCCCACCCTGGCCCAGCCATACCTGAGGTAGGGGAGCTGAGCTTGCTCAGACCTTTGAGTAAGTTCTGTCCCTGTTGTGGATCCAGTTTAGCAGGGAAGGGGCACCCGGTATAGCCCCCATTTTCTTTACAGAAGTCCAGGAACCTGTGGGGGACAGGGACACACACACGCACCTGGCTGAGGAGCACCAGCCGGTGTCTTTGGACAAGTTGCTGTACTTCTGAGTGTCAGGTAACTTAAATGGGGTAATGTGAAGGTGGACAGGTCTGAGGATGAACTGTGACACAAGGAGGTGCCTATAAAGATACAGCTGCCCTAGGCTGGGGGCTGTGGCCGCTGAGAGGGATTATGGGGCCAGGATACTCACGCCTTCCAGTCAGAGTCGTGGCTCAGGAGGAGCGGGTTGCCCACCACAATGAGCAAAGACTTGGCCCGGGTCACAGCCACGTTGAACCTCTGGAAGGAAGAAGTGTCGGTGTCACAGGAGGGAAGGGCCCTAAGGAAAGAAGAGTTCTGCTCCCTGCAGCCCTGACCTTGGGGTTCTTGAGGAAGCCGAGGTTAAAGTCCAGATCCAGCTGCACAAAGCTCTGGCTGCTGCGCACGGTGGAGATGATGACGACGCTGCGCTCTTGGCCTTGGAACTCTTCCACGGAGCCCACCTGCAGGGGGGGCAGCTGAGACCAGGGCAGGGCCAAGCCCTGCCTCCGAGCCCGAGCTCCAGCGGTGTGGAGAAGTCCCAGGGCGGAGTGTCCTGACCGGCAGGAGACAGGGCAGGAGGAGACCCTGGAAGCTGCTCCAGTTAAAGGGATGGGGCTGGAGAGAGTTCTCAGTAAAGAAAACACGGTAACTCAGCAGTGATTTTCAAGCTTTCCTGAAGAGAATCACTAAGTACTTGTTAAAAATAGACAACCCAGTCCTGAATCAGAATTTCCAAGAGAGAGGCCTCTATATCTTAAAAAAATATATATATATGTTTATGTATATGTATATATTTGGGAGAGAGAAACATGAACGGGCTGCCTCCTGCATGTGCCCTGACCGGAAATCAAACCTGTGACCCCTTGGTGCACGGATGATGCTCAACTGAGCCACAAAGGCCAGGACTAGGCCTCTGAATCCTAAAGCACTAGTTTTCAACCCTGGCTGCATACGAGATCACCTGAGGAGCTGGAAAAATTCCCGATGCCCTGGCTCTGCCCCCAGATCACGGTGCTAATTGGCTGGGTGGCTCCTGGCACAGGCAGTGCCAGGAGCTCTCCAGGTGATTCTTGTCTGCAGCCAGGATTGGGAAATTCGAAACAGACTTTAGAGAGAGTGAAGCTACTGTCCCAGAGGTGAGGAGAGGGCAGCGGGACACTATCACATGACGGGTCAGGCAGGCAGGGAATTTGGACTTTATTCTTAGGGCAAGGCCTCAAACCAGCCTGATCATAAAAATGGTGTGGGCTGTTTGCTAAATGTGCAGGCTTCCTGGTCCCATCCTGAACAGCAAGTAGGAATCTTCAGAAGTGAATGGCTTGGGGAGAATCTAGGCCATGGTGGGATGGGGCACGGGCGGGCTGGAGCATCAGGGCAGGAGCGCGAGGTGGTGTCTAGGAGTGGGGAAGTGGGGGGCACAAAAGGCAGAGAGCAAATGTGAAACGTGGTCAGTGTCACCTTCAAGTCCTTGATGTCATTCAGTCCCCGAAGCTGCTTGTCCAGTTTGGTTATGCATTCACGGATTTTTTCCACCTGGAAGATGGGGACAGGTGCCTTTCTCTCATCCTCTTACCCCAGTGCAAGAGGGAGGCAGGCAGGAGGCAAACAGGGAGGGGCAGCCGACCTCTGAGCTCCTGGAACCTTCACCTAGTGGTCTGGCTATGAATGAGATACCATCCAGGGTGGGGGGTCTCACCCTCAACGGGGACGGAGGGCCTAACCTGCTTCCGGTATGGGGAGATGACGCCCACATTTCGGGGGTTCAGACGGACTTTGCCTTTCTTGGAGGAGGAGGTCAGGAGCTGGTTCAGGTAGGAGGTCACCGTGGCAGCCTCTTCGGGGTTGAAGAAGGATGGGCTGTTGCCCTCACGCTCGTCCTTGCCCATTACACCGTGAAAGATGATAGGAAAGCCCTGGATACAGTCGGGAAACCCTCAGCCAGGCCTCCCTGCCCCACTTCCCTCTCACCCCAAAGCCTCCCAGGCAACGTGGGCTCCTATGCCAAGGCGATGAAGGGACAGGCCCGTGGCTTCCACTCGGAACCCCCCTCGCCTGCAACTTCGAGGGGAGGGAAGGTGCGGTATGGCTGGGACCCCTCACCCTTCGAGGCAGACCCTCCCACTGGCAGAAGCGCTCCCGGTCCAAAGTGTCAGCACAGGCCTGCAGCTCCTTCTCGTAATAGAGCCGGTTAGGAATGTGCAGGATGGTGGGGTGAGACCTGGGAGGCAGGAAGAGGAAGGGAGAGCAACACCAGGGGCTGGATGACTTCCACCTCGCTCTCGGAGACCGCGCTCTCCCTGCTCTGCGCCCACGTACAGCACCCTCCCGCCCTGTGGATAGCAGGCTCATTCATCTATAACATCTGCTGCTAGGACCATAAACCACAGAACACAGCCACACGTGGTTCCGGTCCGTGGATTTCACAGACCAGCCAAATTTGAAAGAAAACAAGAAATTGGAAACCCACTCTCAGGTTTCAGTTTTCTGAAGGAAGAACACTACAAACGCAAGTGTCATCTACTGTCACCATTATTTGATGTGTTAAATCCAAAAACATAAGAAGTATGAACACAATAGCTAACATTTATTAAACTCTCAGTGGGCTCCTCTGGGGAGCTAAGGACTTGGGAGCTCATCTGAGCATTTTAGATGTTATGAACTTGATGAAAGGAAGGGTAGCTCTTTAATTTGAATAAGAATGAGGTTAATAAAAACGATATTGTCCGCATTTTTCTAATTTCTCCTTGGACTGCCTGGAAATGTCAACCGGGGCCTGCAACAGATACATCCCAGTGGCTGGGAACCACTGACCATCCCTTAACAGACAGATAAACAAACAGTTTCAGAGCAAAGTCATTTGCTAAGTCACACAGCCACGGAGTAGCAGTGACGGGGCCAGTTCACAGCCTTTCTGCAGGACACCACCTCTGAGCAACAGGACTGCAGATGGAGCCTCCAGCCGGGGCTGCAGAGGGCGTGAAGGCTGGGACCACAGGAGAGGGGAGGGTGTGGGGTACCTGTAATTGCGGAGCAGCTTGGTTATGAACCGAGGGTTATAGCCGTCGGGGCCCTTCTTGTACAAGGCATTGTAGGTAATCAGCCGCTCCAGCAGTGAGTACCCCAGCCCGTGCTTCTGGGCCAGTGGGGAGCGCAGCACAGGCCCCAGCTGCCGAGGGTCTCCAGCCAGCACCAGCTGTGCTCCTGGATTGTCTGATTCCTTGACTTCCATCAGCCCTGGGAGGCACAGGAAGGTGGGAGAAAGGTAACTGGAAGGAACGCCTTGGCCTCAGGTAGGGTGGTGCACCTGCAGCCCCCCTGAGCTCCTTACCTGCTATGGCCACCAGGCTCTCAGGCTCCATGCAATGGCCAGCCTCATCGATGAAGATGTGTGTGAAGTGATCGATGGGAAACTGGGCCGAGACCAGTCTGGAAGGTGTCAGGCCAGGCAGGGGTCAGACCCAGGGACCCAGCCACCAAACCTGAATGCTCACCTAAGCTGGCCCCTCACCCCACTTCCCAGCTTGCAACCTCTTTACTTATACACACACGGTTAAGAGACACGCCCTAGCCAGTTTGGTTCAGCGGATAGAGCATCAGCCAGCGGACTGGAGAGTCCTGGGTTTGGTTCCCACTAAAGGCGTGTATCTAGGATGCAGTTTGTCCCCAGCCCCGGTTGGGGTTGTGTGGGTGGCAGCCACTCAATGTGTCTCTCTCACATCGATGTTTTTCTCTCTCTTCCTCCCTCCCGCTATACCTGAAGATGAATGCAAAAATGCCTGGTGAGGATAAAAAAAAAGACACACACACACACTTCACACCTGCTGGCAGTGATGAGGGTGGTAATTAAGACACGATACTCTTGCAGCTTCTTCTTAGCGGGAAACACATACTCCCCCTTATTTGTGTCCCAGTTACAGCAGGGCTGTGGATGCGAAGGGAGAGAGGTATCTGCTTGGCGCTCCCACTCTCCACCTCACTCTGGCCCTGGACCCCCAGGCAATTTTATCCACCTCTCATTTTACACACAGGAAAGCTGAAGGCCGGGTCCGACCCGGGCAAGGTCCAGGTCTCC